CTCCCTGGGCCTAGTAGGCCTCTGGTGGCACAGCCCAGATCATGACACCCCCATATCCTGACGTCAGCGAGGCGGTGGGTTAACACTTCATGGTCAACCATATTGAATGCCGCTGATAGATCAACAAGAATCAGCGCTGATCCGCCTTGATACAGATGTCTCCGAAGGTCATCCACAAGGGTGACCAGCACCGTCTCAGTCCCGTGAGCAGGGCAAAAGCCGGACTGGAAGGGATCCAGGATCTTAGCCTCATCCAGGAAAACCTGAAGCTGTGATGCCACTGCTCTCTCTACCACCTTACCCAGGAATGGTAGATTAGACACTGGGCGGTAGTTATTAAGGGCCATCTGATCCAACGAAGTTTTTTTAAGGAGAGAGTGAACTACCACCTCCTTCAATCCCCCTGGGAAAGTTCCCGTTGAGAGGAACAAGTTGATAATCTCCCTTAGGGGAGTCTGCACCTCATCGCCGCAGGCTTTAACTAGCCACGATGGGCAGGGGTCCAGGAGGCATGTAGTAGGCCTCACAGCTACCAGGATCCTGTCAACTTCGTCCTGGGAGAGCAGACTAAAGTGGTCCAAAACTGGACCTGAAGATGACCAATGGGCTTCCAGTTCGTTTAGCTCCAAGGTATACCATGGAGCTAGTTTGGTATGAGGGCGAAGAGGGCGCTGGGGAGCGACCTTGTCAATGGCTTCGGAAAGACGGGAGTACCAGTCTTCCACTAGCACATCCAATGAGCCACCAGAGGGAATCGGATCCCACAGAGCTTCCTGGAACGTATTAAGGTCCATTTGACTCCGCAGGCAGGCATAAATTTGCTCACCGCCTAAACAGATAGGATTAGGGATACCCAGCTGAGCCTTCAGGGCAAGGTAGTGTGGCCATGGAACTGCATCAGCAGTAATCCAGTCAACCATAATCCCCAACACAAAGATAAAATCCAGCGTGTGGCCTGCTTTATGTGTGGGGGTCGAAACAAACTGGGAGAGTCCCAGCGCCTCCATGGATGACACTAGGTCCATGGCCTGAGAGGAGGCTGCATCATCTGCATGGACATTGAAGTCTCCCAGGACTAAAAGCTTGGGGTACTCCAAGGCCCAGCTAGATACAGCCTCCCAATAGGTCTGGCAGGACATTTGCCAGTGCGTTCAGTGGACGGTACACCAGCCAAATGGCCAAACTCTCCTCGGCCTCTGACACCAGGCCAACACATTCAGTGCTGGCAGTCTTTACCTCAGGGAGTGGCCTGAAGGAGAAAGCGTCCCGGATGAGTAACACCATGCCCCCGCTCATCAGTCCGGGACTGGTGGAAGACTGAGAAACGGGGGGGGAGTTGGTTCAGGACGACCGTTTCACCCTCCCTCACCCAGGTCTCAATCACACAAGCCAGGTCGACTGCTGTTTCTACCAGATAACTCTGGAGAACAGGGGTCTATTATTAATAGACCTGGCATTGCACAACACCAGTATCTGAGAAGGGTACATCATCCTATCCCTACAGCCAGCATCTCTTAGGGTGAAGGTTGGAAGGAGATTATTATCTCTATATTGCAGTTGGGGCAGTTGAGATTGATAAGTAGTGAATGAGGTGAAAATTGAATTTAGGTGCTTTGTGGCTGATCTGCTTAGCTACTGTACTGAACCACCTCTGTAGCTTGTAGCTGTCATACAGGAGTAAAATGCTGCCCAGAGCACTTTTTGGCCCAAACAAGCAAGTAAATTGTGCTAGAACTATAATCTTCAGGAAATCCATGCTAAGCAAAGTTAAGGCATAGAGTAGGGGTGGAAGTACCAGCATTCTTAATCTGAATATTGCTCATTTCCTAGTCTTGGGATCTTTTTGGTATTCTGCGTTTCCACATGCTTCATGTTGATATTACCATAGGGTTAGTAAATGCTTCTCTCAGCTTTTGTGCCCAGTGAAGGGGAGGGGCTGCAGGCTGTTCTAATCCTTGTTCTTTAACTTATCTGAATCAGTACAAAATACAGTAGTTGTGGTATCCTATTTAAATGTATAGCATTGAACAGATGAGCTTAGCAGATGGTAGCCAAATACCACAAGTGATTTGAAACAGCATCTGCTGTTAAAGAGGCTGCATTTGCTTTCTGAAGTGCCCAGTTTGCAGGACATCATGAAAGGACTTGGGAGCAATGCTGAGTGAGTATGCCTCCTGGATACATTTGGAACTATTCTTAGTCTTGATTGGATAGGGCAGACCCCTTTGGGAAAAACATTGAGCTCTAAGGGAGTCTATATTCAAGGAGGCTCACACCTTCAGCCAGTGTCAGCTCTTCCTGGGACTCTGTAGGAGAAGCTCCGAGCAATTGCATTCTGCTGATTGTAGCTTCACAGTGAGAATATAGCCGATGGATGCAAATTCCCAGAATCTTTCTTGTGTCCACGTATAATAAGATCTCTGCGCCAGGGGATGGATCAACTAATTGAAGACCATCACATGTGACAGAGTAATGCCTGCTAACTGAGCTGGGTTGGAAAAGCTGTTGCTAAAGGAAGGATTATACATCTGGCATCTTTCCACCCTCCATGTTTTCTTCTTCCTGCCGTACCCATGCAGAACTTGTGCTAGACCAATATGCATTATTTCCAGAGGATGACAGTATCATTAGAAATATTTTTCTGGTGTCCTAGTTAAGTCGCTTTGAGTTATTGAGAAAGCCGTCTCGCCCTCATAAACTATGTCCCCTGCAGCTGAGAAGGTGAATGAAGCAAATGCTGGCAGGAGAACATTAGTGAATTTGTTCGAATGTTGTGGCTCTTTGAATGCAACTCTCCTTGAACAAAAAGGAATACAGTCTTGGAAACCATACTCTTTGGCTATAGAAAACAAACCATGTGTGTTTCTTCAAGCAAGCCTATATGATCATTCATTTTCATAGCTGGTAATGTGCTTAGAATCTTCAAAATTATCCCCAGGGACAATTTAATAGTTAGAAATAGTGTTGTTCACTACTGCCTTGTGTTGGGTCTGTGAGTATTTTTAGAGGTGATGATGTAAAAGCTTAATATTAAATTAAAAATGCTAGCTGTTGCCCTGATCTGGATAGCCCAGGCAAGCCCAATCTCATCAGATCTCAGAAGCTAAGCAGGGCCAGCCCTGGCAAGTAGTTGGAGGGGGACCAACAAATACCAGAGGTGGGATGCAGAGGCAGGCTAATCAAGCTACCTCTCTGAAAAACGCCCAACCTCCCAGTAGGGGTGGCCAGAAGTCAACCATTACTTCCAGGCAAGCACACACAAATATATTTGAAAAATGCTAGCTCTTCTAACATCCGACAGGCCCAGGTATTCCAGAAATATCTAGGAAGAAATCTTTTAGATGTTTGTTCTTCTTTAAAATATCATATAAATAAGTAGATTTATATTAGAGATGGGATTCCAAAATCTCACATATGGATTAAAGCTAGTTATGTTGTGTGCATTTTTTATATATGGACTCCCCCCGCCCCCGCCGCCCTGAATCTATGTCTCTGATTTTCTTTTTGTTCTTTTTTAGGCTGTTGAAAATCTCTGCTCCTACAAGATTTCTGCAAATTTGTACAAACAATTAAGACAGATTTGTGAAGACCACATCAAAGCACAGATTCATCAGTTCAGAGAATATCCTTTTGTTTAGTAAATCATTAATGTGACAGAAACAAATTTTACCTGCTTGTCTCTAGCTTTGGAATCCTGTAAACAGCATTTTGATAATATAATAGATTAAGAAGCAGCCAGAATCATTATTTGTGCCAAGACTGTGTAATGAAGCTGTGGCTGTTTGTAAAGTGATAGTGCAAAGCCAAATGATTGTATGCCAGTTTGGAAGGAAGTAGTACAGACGTTTGAACAGGAGTTACTGACAGAAGGAATGAAAATATTAATTTATAACTAACATAGAGTGTTTTAACAAGATAAATATTTTATGTTCAGTGGTGATGAGCTAATTTATGTACAACCCTGTAATTAAAAAGGAGGTTCTAATCATAACTAAGCTTTTATATTCCCCCAGGAATGTCTCACTCCATATCCACTGCAGAATTTGACATCTTCTGTGTTCATGCTTAAATTTTAGGGGTTGGGAGCAATGTTCCCTCTAAGCTGTGGAGTCTTGTGAGCAAAAATTCTACTTTGTGAGCTGCTGGCATTAAAGTTGTGAGCAAGCGATTTGGCTGCTGCATAAATCAGTTTGCTCTGAAGCCATCCTCCCTGAGCCAAGACAAAAATGTGTGAGCCGGAGGCTAAAAAACTGTGAGCTAGCTCACACTAACTCAGCTTAGAGGGAACACTGGTTGGGAGTTCTTATTGTGGGGGATGGTGTGGAATAAGAAGTCAAGTATTCATTTGGGTCTTTATGCTATCTAAAGAATCTCTTGATCAGTTGCTGTTCTTCTAATGGCTACAATCTAGAGATATGTGCATGCCACGTTTTTTCTTCCCTTGCTCTGAGTTGTTCCTTTATCAGTCCCTCAGAGTTTTTGTTTGCTTTTTTTAAGCACAAGGGGGGCAGTTTGATGTCTAAAGCTTTTGAAAGGAAAATGACAGGAAAATCTTGAGTGTGTGCAAGACTCTGTGCACACTTGTGACATCACCAGATGGCAGAATAAGTTGTGGATGTTGATACTGAACTTGGTCATCTGACTTGGAAGGCTGGTTTCTTATTTGGCTGTACTTCAGTCAATTTCAACAAAGCTGCACCACAGTAAATGTTTGATAAACACTGTCCCCTCTTATATTAGCTATCAGTTCTGGTATCTGTGCTTTTAGCTGACTTTAGGTGGACATTTGTGCTTAGGGGCCATATCCAAAATTAAAACATACAAACAGTTTAAAATTTAGCTTGGATTTTAGAGTTATTTTTTCAAAATTAATAAAGGTGTAGAACTTTGGTGTCATTAGCCTTTTGGTTTTACACATCATAATTTGTTAGGACATTCTTAACTGCTTCCTCATGGATTCGTTGGACAGTGTTCTTTTTCTCAAGAAAATAGACAAATGTTGGCAAGACCATTGCAGACAGATGGTAAGGTTTGTTTTCAGTTGAAAGACTACTTATGTAAGCTTGCTCCAAGGGCCACTGCCTGCAGCTCCCTAAAAACTTGCCTGGAATGTCTAGGATCCTTAAACAACTTTTCAGGGAGTGCAGGTAGATGTGGGGAGGGAGGACTGGTAATGTGCACAGTGCACCTGTGAATACAAATGCTTTCTGCTTGTGCAGCAGGATCTTTGGATCTGACCCTGTGTGTGTGTGTCTACATTGCTTGCAAATAAGTCTTGTAAATAACCCTCAATCTGATATTCACACAAACATAACCTTTTTGCTAGTTGTGAGGTCAGAAATAGTTAATGGCATTTAGAACATAATTTTTGTCTTTTTGCTTTTCTGTATTCTGACAATGTTGTCTGATTTGCACCTCCTGAAGGCTATTCTTGTATTTTACGCTTAGCTCATTGTGTTGTATCATTAAATGATACACTTCAGTAATCTAGTTAAGATATCCCTCCTTATATGCAGTTTATTTCTTAGAAGTAGAAATATCCATCACCAAGCCTTGGGTTGCATAACAACAATATAAAGTGCTACACAATATAAACCCATCAAGATACTGCATATAAAATGAACCCCCTGCAGTTAAAACTATATTTAATTAATGTTAGCCAAAAGGTGAAATGCTTTTGGAGGTACTCTGGCTCAGATTTTGGGAGAATGGAGTTTCATACTAGCAGTCACCAGTGAGATGATTTGTTTTGCAAGTTGAAACTTGAGATATAGAAAGGCCGATAAAGGGAAATGCACTCTATTAATCATAAAGGAATGTAAGGGGGAAGGTGGTTGCTAAGGTCTACTAGGATGTCAGACTTTACAGCTGTGCTGTTGTAAGCAGGCACATTTGAATGTATGTCTCATTGAAACAGCATTTCCTTCCCAGTAAAACATGTTTAGGATTAGAGCTCAAAATAAACTTTTATGTGCCTACATGTGATAGACATAGTGCTTAATTTGTTGCAGAGCTGATGGCTTGTTTCTTTCCCATTACAGATAATGATTAGAAGTATCTTTTTGTTCCTGGATCGAACCTACGTACTTCAAAATTCAATGCTGCCATCAATTTGGTGAGAATGGAAAAAATAGTATTTATATTTTTTAGACTTCCAAATACTCTGTCAAATATAGATTAGCAGTTTTTCTTCACTTCTATCTTGACTGACGGATGCAAATTCTCTGTGAACTGAGAAACTTTCTTGCATGATTAGTTTGTGTATGCTGATTTTAGGCTACATAACAGTTAAAAGATCAAGTAGTGTCCAGTATTAATTCATGCCCAGTAATGCATATTGGGAATCAACAGGGCCTCCTGTGCTAATTCAGTAGTTTTCAGAGTTTTCAAATACTAATTTAGGCTGAGATACTTTAAAATTTCTCTAAGCTTGTCTTCTGTTTGAAAGAATACCCAGTATTTAGTATTTACTAACATTTCCATCCATGTAACTGTTCATAATTCATATGCATAAATGTACCCATGAGTGTTACTGTGTGGATATAAATCTCAGATTTTATAACTCACAACTAATGTGGTGCCCTTGAGTGTTCTAACATATATGTTTGCTATGTACATCTGCTTAGTCCATATGAAATCTGACAAGATCTTGTATAAGTGACAGTTACTGACAACCTGGTCAGACATGAAGAATTTCTGAGCTCTGTATGTGAGGTGTGAATATCATTATTTATTCATTTATTATATTAGACTTCTAGCCCGCCATCCCCTGATTTGCAAGGCTCGGGGTGGGTAACAACATGTTAAAATAATGTCATAGTTACTAAAACAATTTCATAAACAATCAAGATAAGATCAGAGGGTGACACAGGCACTAATACAGTTTATCTAGGTGAGGTTGTGCAAGCTGTGTGTTTGTAAAAAGCTAGAACACCATGCAGTTAGTAGCGGAGGGGGAGACACTGGGGGAGGCCAAATTTGATGGGAACTTCACTGCCTCAACCATATGCCTGGCAGAACGTTTCTGTTTTGCATGCTTGCCCATATTTACCCTTTTCTTTCTGGATACAATTCAGAGCCAAATAGCAGAGGGCCAGATGAAAATAGTATTCCTCTAAGTCAAACATTACTTTGGTAGATGGTTCATGCCATGGGTACCTGAAGAACTATGACTCACTCCCACGTGCAGTATTCAGAAAATAATGTCCAACCAGGTCCTAAGGCTTCTACTTAGGTGGCTAGCACTTGGAACAAAATGAACATGGTTTCTGGTATAATTCAAATGATGCTCATGGACTCTGCTTCATTTTGGTGTGTTTAAAAATTTCTGCTTTTTCTTCAGGGATATGGGGCTAGAGTTGTTCAGGACTCATATAATTAGTGATCAAAAAGTTCAAAACAAGACCATTGATGGCATTCTTCTGTTGATTGAGAGAGAGAGAAATGGCGAGGCTATTGACAGGAGTTTGCTCCGCAGCCTTCTAAGCATGCTTTCAGATTTGCAGGTGAGTAAGGCACAGTTCATTGTTTAATCCTGTATCAGAGTAGCTATAGGAGCCTCTTTCAAAACAATTGACTTCTGTTTGTCCCCCCAGATCTATCAGGATTCTTTTGAACATAGATTTTTGGAAGAGACTAATCGGCTGTATGCAGCAGAAGGACAGAGGCTAATGCAAGAAAGAGAGGTATTTTGTTGCCCTGTTGCTTATGGTAGCTATGAGATTCTTTACCTTATAATTTTCAAGGGTGAAATGGTACCTCCCATGACATTTTCTGTCTCCTCGAGAATGGCTTACAGGAAGCATAGTATCAGTGGTATGACTTGCATGTCCAGATTTGTTTCTCAAGAAAGCTATGTCATAGGCAGCTGGTGGATAGTTCCACTGCCCTTGTTTAACTTTTCTATGTAATTTACCCAATCTGGCAGGTTCCAGAGTATCTTCATCACGTCAACAAACGTTTGGAGGAAGAGCAAGACAGGATTATCACATACTTGGATCAAAGCACCCAGTAAGTATGCGGTAACCTTGGGTGTAAATCCCAATCATTGCTTTATGCTGGTGTGTGGGGTTGTGTACTAAATGTGGAAAACCAAGCAAGCTATAATTCCATCATTTGCTACCCTTGTCTCTTCCTTTGCTATCTCACCCATGGCAATTGAGAAGGTAAAATTTTCAAGACATGACCTTGTCTCTCCATTCCCACCCCTTGCTTCCCCTAAGCTGTAAGTGCCCACATATGTCAATGGTGTTAATAGTAAATTAATTGTATTTAGCTCAAAAATTGTGCTTAAAAATAACAGTACTTCTTATCTATAGAGAAGAGTTAAAATGCTTTATTTCAAGGCACGAAAAGAGCCACAATGTTGCACATATTCATTTGTCAGCTCGTTCTTGATCTGCCCTTTCAAGAAGGGGGGAACACACAAACTGAGTCATGCTTTTAAAAAAAATGATGTAAACCATGACACTGTTCCAATAGTTAGGATGTTACTGTGTGAAGCATAGCTACTCCTAGTGTTCCAATTGGTTTGAAAATGGTTAATGGTGAGCCAAAGAAATGTAATTCTAAACATTTTTCCTATAGGAAACCACTAATTGCTACTGTAGAAAAACAGCTACTAGGTGAACATTTAACAGCCATTCTACAGAAAGGTAATCTATCTTTCTTTATAGAAATCTTTCTGTTTACTGCTTCTTCGGGGCTTTCAGTTCCTGTGCTGAAAGGAAATGACACGGTCAGGTGCTGCTTCTTTCTAACACCCTTTGCTACCCAGTTCATGAAATAGCACTGAATGGTTATCAGGAGAGGGCCACAAGTCCCATTCTCCCTTCTTGAGGTAAGGAGTCACAGCAGTGTCTTCAGATTTTTTTTTTTTGAGTAAAGATGAATGATGCTAAAAGAAAAGCAAATATGGATAAGAGCTTACATGTAATGATAATGTAACATGTACAGTAAACGCTTTGTTGTCCAGCACTTGAATATCCAGAAAAGTTACTTAACTAGCATTGCTCAGAGGGCAAGCTTCCTCCCCCACTGCCACCATCCACACTTCTGTGGGCTCCCACCTTTCATGCTGGGCAGGGCTTTTCACAGCCTGCACTGTCAGCTGACATCATCTTTAGATACCTCCTTCCGACTCAGTCTGCCTCAAGTTGTCTGGAGTGAGCTCTTTTGGAGGCCACTTGGCAGGTGATCCATTTGTCTGCTTGCCGTGTAGGGTGTCTCTGTGGCTGAGGGGAGAGGAGAAGAGTCCTACCAGGTGTGGGGGCTGTTGCCATGGCATTCCCAAGGGGATGGGAATTTCTTTCAGGTGGTGGTGGAACAGGAAAGTAAGCTTGAATATATGGCACATTTGATTAACTGGCAACCTCCATTCTTCACTAGTGCTGGATAACAAAGCTTACACAGTGCTGTTTTGTGATAAAGTGGTTTCCAAGCCTTTGGGGGGCAGGTGGAGCAGATAAGCTGCTGTGTTCTGCAAGGAGTAGATGCTTCCCTGCCTTATACCGGGCAATAAATCACACTTTGTGATCATAAGATAATGTGCTGTTCAAAGCAACATGGTGAAACCTGTGTAAACCTTGTGCCCCTGCTAAAGGAATATTAGTGTAAGATTACCTGAATACATTAAGTAACCACGTGTTAAGGGAGTGGGTGAAGGATGATACAGATGAAAAAGTACTACCAGTGAAGAATGATACCAATGTAGTCTCTTCAGGAATTATACCAATGTTGTAACAAAGTCTGTTGGGAGGAAAGGAGTTTTTTAATTCTCTAAAGTCATTAGGAACACACACCACTATTTAAAAAAATGTGGGATCTGAGAGAACTTATGGGGGGGGGGGGAATGTGTCGCATGACCACTCTCCCTCTTGTGTTTCCTCTTTGGTGCCACTTTTCCACCCACCTACCTACTTACAAACAACAAATACAATACCTTTATTGGCATAAAATATCAAATACACATGCAGCATAGAGCCTCAAGATAGGCTGGAGGGGTATCACATTCCGAATTGCCTTAATATGAGCCTCTCCTCCTAGATACCTCATAAAAGAAATTTGCTAAGGGTTCCAGAATTTCTATATTATGCGAAGACAATAAAGAACTAATTTTATGCTCATCAGATTGGCCCAAAAGGGGGTCCAACACAGGTTCAATATAAACAACACGGATGTCACAGTGGAATTTACAGTACAATAGCACATGTCCAATGGATTCGATTTTCCCCATCCCACAGGGGCACAATCTATCTTTATAGGGAATTTTGTTGAACCTTCCCGATAGAACAGCTGAGGGAAGGACGTCGAACCGTGGTAGCATGAAAGCCCTACGAAGATGGGGCTGAATCAGTCTTGCCAGGTATCCTGAGGAAATATGGCTAAAAGAAAGCTCCTCCACCCTCATCCGTCTCCCCCCTTCCCCCATTGTGCTGTCATGGTGACAATTGAGGCACGAAATTCTCAGCAGTGTTGGTTGTAGGTTGCCTAACAAGCCACAAAATGGTTGCAGAGATCTCACAGTGTAGTCTCATGAGGTCTCAGTGGTACAGTTTTTTGTATACATGTTTCATATTTTTCTGTAAATCTGGAGCTTCCCCAAGGCTTGTAGGTGGGGGAAAAAACCCTGTCTGCCCCTGACCCCTTTGATTTTTTTGATCTGCACCCTGTGGCCCCATTCAGAATTAACTGTGCAATGATATTTCACATTTAAAAGTGTGTTGGGAAAGATGAATGCATTGACATTGGTCTGTCTGACTGTGCAGAATGGGAACAAGGAGCCTGAACATCATAACAGCTGCATGTAAATTGTGGAATACTGTCACTAAGTGGATGTTTCCCTTTGAAATCAGAGCATTTTATTTTTAAAAAGAGGGCACAGTGTGACCCTCACAGTTTCAGATATTGCCAGGGATCAAAGATCTTGTTTAGGATTGTCTTTGGGCTTGTGTGCACACAGCTAACTTTATGAAAACATGTTTTAGGAATTCAAATTCTACAGTGTCCAGTTTTCACTAAATATTTGGAAGCCTGAGTGAGAAGTTAAATAAATCTTTCATTAAATCTGCAAAGAAGGGTCAGCTGAAACTTCTGCTTTCTATTTGTTCTCTTGTAATTATGCATTTAGTTCCTTCCATATTCTGATTCATACTGTTTTTCAACAGCCTTTGTCCATAAAAGAAACAACAGAAACAGTGTACATTTGCCATTTTTCCCCTTTGTTTTGTTCTAGCAAACTTCTTGTAGCCAAACCAGTAATGGGAAGAAATGGTCTGTTGCGTTATGAACTGAGCAGAAATTTAACATTTGTTTTTGTTGAACAAATGTGTATTGATTTGGAACAACTGTAATGTGCTTTAATATTGAACACTTGCAGGTTTAAACCATCTCCTGGATGAAAACCGAATTCAAGATTTGTCTCTACTGTATCAGCTGTTCAGTAGGGTGAAAGGTGGCGTGCAAGTTCTCTTGCAGCACTGGATCGAATATATAAAGGTACAGACATGGGACTAACTTCTTTCTGTCAGCTTAGGAGCAGGTCCTACATTTATTGGAGTGAGGAAAGACTCTTGTATAATATTATTAATAGGCTTATTGCTAAAAAACAAAGGCCAAAGAAAATATTCCTATATACAAATCATGGGATCAAGGAGTGGACAGAATAGTCTAATATGGACTGTGCCAAGTTTTCATCAGTATATTAAAAACTATATTAAATCAATTGTATTTTCGCTCTTGAAGTAACTTTTTCATCATCCAGCTGAGGATATCTGCCTGCAAAACTTGAGGAGGTATTTGGGGCTGCAGTGGGAGTGGAGGACGCAAGAAAGTTGGAAGTAGTTTCATCCGTAGAAACGCTAAGCTGCATTCGAACCTTAACTTTGTAACGTGGTGTCTATCTACACAAATCTGATACTGTTTCACATATTTATAGTTCTGTTTTGTATTTTCACTACTTTTCATAAAGAGAATAATGTTTTAAAAATGATCTCAACAATTTCTGCATCCGTTTGACTAAGTCTGCTTTGGTACGAGAAACAGATCAAAGACTGAGTCCAGTGGCATCTTTAAGACAAAGTTTTATTCTGGGTATAAGCTTTTGCGTGCATGCTAGCTTCTTTGAAAAAAAAAAGCTTTGTTGGCATCACTGGACTCAAACTTTGTTCTGTGGCTTCAAACCAACGTTGCTGCCCACCTGAACTTATCCTGGTACTAGAAAGGGTTTGAAGTGAACAGCACGTGCTTGTTATGCCTTGATACCAAGAGGCGGGATTTGCTTGTGTCATTAGTCTGATACACAGAATAAGATGTGGGATGAGTGGTATGGGAAGTATGTGGTATGGTGAATGTTGCCATGAGTTGTTGTTTTTGTTTGTTTTAGGGAGCTGGGCATGTTTTAAGGCAATTGTGCATCGTTTTAACTGAAAGTCAGGAGGCAACACTTATAAAATTATATACCCATCCAGGTGATGTCTTGTAACCCAACAGACTTGTGTGAATCAGCTCTGCATTGTACATTCAGAGCAGCTTGGGCAGTTCATGGGTCAAGACTTTTACTGCTTTTTATTGTTTGGGCCACCAGTATGAATCCTGTTGTAATCTTTGCCCAATGGAATGCTGTACCTGTTAACTAGGAAAGGAACTTTCCCTGCATACGAGGTACAGGAATGGAAAGATTTCTGCCCGAGTCTCAGAAACTGCTTCGTGTCTGAGTAAATAATACTGGACTTGTGGAACAGATAGTCCGACTTTCTTTAAGTCATCTTTGCATGTTCATATGCACTTGTATATTTCACAAGTGTGCTGACATACAGTCAAAAATGTGTGGGATACCAGGTAAAATTACTCTGGAGCTTTTAATTCTCTTGGAAACTTTGAGTTGTCAAGGATCCTGTTGAGTCACAAGATGCCAATCCAATCCAATCTTTATTAAAACGGTCATAGACCAGCACAAGTCACAGTTCTCGTAGATCACAATAAAATACAGATATAATACAGTGGGTAAACAATAATTAAATAAATGAATAAGTATAATGCAAAGCTGCCGCACAAAACTTCACACTAAGAGCTGAAACCTGTGAGTTTTCATCTATAAGTAACATCCTGGCATGTACCGAATGTCACCCCTCAGTACTGAATCTGAATGACCAAGATGTCTGCTAAGCAAAGGAAGAATAAACTTAGAGCAAATCTCTTAATGAAAAGGGCAGTGAACTATACATCTTCTATAGTTTCAATCTCCCCTGAACTACAGGAGCAAAACCTATCTGACATGGGAGCCTTTTTGGTATCACCCCTCCAGGGCTGCAGAAGGGAGTGCTTGCCATCTGGCAAGGGAAAATGCCTTCTGTTGACTAGGAATCTCCAGTTGGGAGAGATAAGTGGCCAGGCAACTACATATCTAGAGCTCTCTGAGGACAAATAAGTCGGTGACCTCTCTACATCTGACTGCCACTCAGTGTCCAACAGCCTTTGCTTTAAAATTTGTTTTGCCAGGTCATACCCCATATCCAAAGCAAAATGAGGGGAGAAGCCCAGACTCACCAGCTGCCTTTAGCCATGAAGATTGATGACTGTCACAGAGAATCAAGGGAATTAAGCCCTGGGGATTATAGTTTAGCTTTAGCCAAGGGTTAATGGAGGCAAGACACACCCTGGCTTCAACTTTTATCATACCAGTCTCCAGGCACAAATTCGCATTTGAGACACAGCAGGGCATTTGGAAGACTGCTCTCAAAAATTTCGATTGCACTAGCTTCAAAGGTGCAAAGCAGGAAGAAGGTGGCCTGAGCATTGTCCCATATCAAAGCTGAGCTAGTGTTTTGGCCTGGAATAGTTTAAGGGCAGCTGGAATATATTGTCCACCCTTAGTGCGTAAAAATGCCGTTGTGCAGGTGGTTGTAATAACACTGTTAAGTGTATTCTGAGGGGCAAGTGTTTAAGGTGCTACAAGATGCTTGGTTTTGCTACAAGAGAATAAAATGAATTCTAATATAGACTTTCTTTGCTGGAAGGGCTGTGGCTCTTCAGCAGACTTTAGGCATTGTTGGTGAAGCTGCCCTTATGTCCAACAATATTGGTCACAACAAATTTTGGATGAAATCAAACGGATTATATATCACAAACTGCCTCTTACATTGGATGCTGTAATATTAAATTACTGGGATTTTTAGAAGTATACTGAATGAATAAATATGATAATTTCAATTTTGCTCTCAGTTGTTAGAACATTGCTTGCTTACTATTGGAAAGATAAAACAATACCATCAATGCAGCAATGGAGAAAAAAGTTATGGAAATATTTTATTTTAGGAAAGATAGCTGAAAACCCATATATGAACCAAACAACAAAACAGAAAGACACTTTTATTAAAATATGTTATCCTATTGTAGATTATTTGACACAACAAGGAGTCTTACCTGTTAATTTTTTAAAATAGACTTCATTATCAATAAACAGATACAATAACATATAAATCAATTTATGTAACCATTACATTAATAACAGCCATAGTAAGAATACAACATGAAATGAATCAACAGCTGTAAATAGTATAAATAACAATCTGATAAACGATTTTTATTGTATCTAAGATTGAAGCGTAATCAAATGGGGTTCAGTGTGGCCAAGTGCAAAGTGAGGCACATTGGAGCCAAAAATCCTAAATACACATTGATGGGGTCTGAACTGGCAGAAACTGACCAAGAGAGAGATCTTGGAGTCGTAGTAGATAACTCAATGACCGTGTGCAACTGCAGTAAAAAAGGCCAACGCTATGCTGGGGATTATTAGGAAGGGAATTGAAAATAAATCAGCCAGTATCATAATGCCCCTGTATAAATCAGTGGTGCGACCTCATTTGGAATATTGTGTACAGTTCTGGTCACCACACCTCAAAAAGGATATTATAGCATTGGAAAAAGTGCAGAAAAGGGCAACTAGAATGATAAAAGGGTTGGAACACTTTCCCTATGAAGAAAGGTTAAAACGCTTGGGGCTCTTTAGCTTGGAGAAACAACAGCTGAGGGGTGGCATGATCAAGGTTTATAAGATTGTGCATGGGATAGAGCAGGTCGAGAAAGAAGGACTTTTCTCCCTTTCTCACAATACAAGAACTTGTGGGCACTCAATGAAATTGCTGAGCAGTCGAGTTAGAACAGATAAAAGGAAGTACTTCTTCACCCAAAGAATTATTAATACATGGAATTCACTGCCACAGGAGGTGGTGGCGGCTACAAGTATGGACAGCTTCAAGAGGGAATTAGATAAGCATATGGAGCAGAAGTCCATCAGTGGCTATTAGCCACAAGGTATAGATAGGAACTCTCAGTCTGAGGCAAGTGATGCTCTGTATTCTTGGTGCTGGGGGGGCAACACTGGGAGGGCTTCTAGTGTCCTTGCCCCACTGCTGGACCTCCTGATGTCACCTGGTATTTTTGGCCACCGTGTGACAGAGCGTTGGACTGGATGGGCCATTGGCCTGATCCAACATTGGCTTCTCTTATGTTCTTAATCATTTTTGGTAGATAAAAAGGCCAAGAAGGGAAACCAAGTTGAAGTAAAATTAGAATAAGTAGAGCCTAAAGTTCTAGAAAAGATAGCATCAGGAAGTTTATCCATAAGGCAAAATTCACATACTTTCTTTATTCAATCAGAGATGGAGAGATGTGTATTATATTTCCAAGATTTGGCTATAACAAATCTGGCTGCCGCACACAATAAAGCAATAAGTTTTTTGTGTGGAGAAAGAGGAAGAGAATATTTACCAGTTAATAATTACTATAAGACCTTATTATACTTTTGAAAGTGAATTTAAGTTGTTGATATAATTTACTTGGGTTGACGATATTATGGAAACTTACATGTAAGATAATAGAAAGATGTTAGTTAATGTTTTGAAAATAGTTAAAACATTAACACTGTTTTGTATATTATTTACCTCTGTTGAGAGCCTGAAGTGATATATTCGTTGGTATTATTGTTAATTTTGCATAAATAAAAATTAAAAAAATAATAACAGTTTTTTATTTTAGCATAATCTTTTCACAGAATAGAGCCCTCTTACAGATCCATGTGGAAGGTCCTCATTGAGCATATACTTACACATGGCTGCCTAGTGAGGACCATCCAGGGACAAAATGGGTTCTGTTTGAAGAAGCTAATGCTAGAATAAAACAATGTTAATCTAACAAGTAGGGGAGAAGACATGGCTCATTGATAGAGCATGCAGAAGATTCTAGGTTCAGTCTCTGGCTGGCATCTCTAGTTAAATGGATCAGGTACTAAGTGATAAAGAAGACCTTTACCCTGAAACCTTTGAGAGCTGCTGCCAGTCAGATTAAACAATACTGTCCTTGATAGACCAGTGGTCTGACTCAGTATCTGGCAGCTTCACATGTTCATGTGTGTTCAAGTCACAAGGATCCTGTTTACAGTAAAACAAAGTGTAACTGCAGTTCAAGTGACTTCTATGGACTTTCTTCCTTGCACTGGTTTGTCCATGGCAGCCAGCCTCTGTTTGATACGATGTTTTTATTTTACAGGCATTTGGTAGCACCATTGTAATTAATCCAGAAAAAGACAAAACCATGGTCCAAGAACTGCTAGACTTTAAGGATAAAGTTGATCATATCATTGATATTTGTTTTCTGAAGAATGAGAAGTTTGTCAATGCCATGAAAGAAGCCTTTGAAACTTTCATCAACAAAAGACCAAATAAACCTGCTGAGCTCATAGGTATGCTTTTCATTATGCCACAACTTTCATTCTAGGATGTCAGCGAGAACCATTAGTTGTTAGTGAAGAGAATTATGAGACTTGCTAGCTCTGTGTGCTGGTGGTACATTCCCTGTCTGATGAATGCTGATCATACTGCTTTAGGCTTCCATTTTACAACCAACAAGCACCTTAGCATTATGTTTAATAAAACTGAGATAAGTATATGATAGAAAGTATTAAGCTTACCAAATTGCAAACCTTTGACACAAAGGTATGGTCTAAAACTTAATGAATACTTAATCTTATGCTATGATTTCTCAGTCAAAGCAGTGCTGTTGCTTTCACAAGCTGAATGTCAAAATCATGGGCTGTCTTTGGATTTCAAAACATCCACCAGTTGCTGGAGCTTGGGGGGGAAAGCTTTCAGTCACTAATTGGTTTGCAGTAACTAGATCTGTTTTTCCCTGGTGGAACTTCCCTGGTCAATCTCTGTATCACTATCCTTACTGTTCAGGGGTATGTTTGTTTATTTGGTTTACTTAAAATATAAGCTTACAAACAGACATTAATACACAGGGGCCTCGGTGCTAGTTTTTGTTTGTTAGGGAGTCAGCTCCCTAAGAGGCAAGTTACGCTGCAGTGGGGGTGGGTGGGGTGTAGTTGGCTGCTTGCGAGGCCATGTCCATGACGATTCCACCACAGTGTGGCCTCGAGGTGTAGTGTTGAGGCAGGGGTGGCACGACAGGCAGGGCACTTTGGGTAAACAGGAGTGGCCAGTCCTGGGGCAGATGTTGCACATCAGAGGGGGTGAGGAAGGGTGGCGCAGGAGCGCCCATGTTCTTCTCCCGCCCTGCCCCCCTGACAGAGGCCCACGGCGATGACAGGCATATGTAGTTCCTGCAAGGCAGCATGTCCCATGGCTAAGTCCTCCCAAACCTCCCCCCAAAATACTTCAAGTCCACCTTCTGCAGTGGCTCTCCCCATTGGCTCAGGGACCTCCCATGATCCCGTGCTCCCTCAGTGCTACTTGCACAGATGCCTTCCCCCCCTGAGTGCCAGAGACTGCTTCTGCTACCCCCAGGGGCTGTCATTCCACTCTGCGACCTCTAATTCCAGTCCCAGAGCATAGACTGTATTGCAAGGGACTGTCATTCCACTCTAGGGGCTGTCATTCCAGTCCCAGAGTAGTCTGTCTGGGCCCAGAGTCCTTAATGAATCCGTTCCGCATTTTATTAGCAACATTTTTTTATACCGTAATGTATTTCAGCGGGCAATCCTGTTACTCCTGTGAGTACATCCTAGGAGTGGAATCTGGGTCACCCAGGTCCAGCCTCTCGCTCTAACTGCCTCTGGCCCCTCCCCCCTTCACACAGAAGCCAGTGAGGTGAGCAAGGGAACCTGTCTGTGCAGCTGGGTCCCTGCTGTGTATGGCGGATCACTACGACCCCTCAGGAAGCCCACAGGGGGAATGGCGGATGGGGTAGGGAGGGAATGGGGCAGGAAGGGGTGTGGCGTTTCTGTCATGTGGCAGAAACCAAGCAGTAGAGACTCAGTTGTGATATAATGTAGACTTTATTGCACTGGAATCCATGGCAAGGAGTGAGGACTCTGTCCACTTCCACCCTGAGCCACCCACAGCCACACTGGCACCAGGGCTGGCAGCTCAGTTGCTCCAACAAGCATTTTCAGCCCCCACCCTCAGGATTGCTCTGCCCGTTTCCTAGGAGAACTAATAAAACAGAAAAAGCAGTTGACAGTGGAATCCTAAAACTTCCAACACATCCAACAGCAAAAGTATCGATGAAGTATCATTTGGCATAAAAATCCTTTAGCAAGAACAATTTGGCAAGTCATAATGACCAGTAAAAGACACTAAAGCATTATAACAGTAAATATGGTTTTTAACTTTCAGTATTAAGGTGAATAGGCTCTTAAGGAAGGTCAGCTAAAACCTGTGTCAGCAAAAAGGACTGAGTTTTTAAAAATGTTTTAACTTGGTGCTGAAACTTAGGAGATTCAGTGCCAAGTGAATGTACATGGGAGGGAGAGCTATATCTATGACACTAGGGCAGAAACAGCCCCATCTCTTTTGGCCATCCACCATGTCACTCTCAAAATAGGCTGTTACCTAATAGTGAGTCAACTGTCTGCCTGGGTTCACTTTTTCAGACTTCATTTGCTTGGGGATGGGGGCAGAAATCTCTTGTTTACACTGATATCGAACAAGGCAAAACCTTTATTCTAAATGAAGTGTTCATGAACTTTAGAGAAGCCAGCCATTGCTGGGGGTGGGCATTAAACTTAAAGGCATCAATAGGAGATAAAATCAGAAATGGCCACCTTTTGGCAAGGGATGAATATCAAATAGGGAAATCTCATTTCAAGATAAGGTTGCCAGGTCCCCCTTCGGCACCTACAGGGGGGTGAGGTTGCCAGATCCAGATTGGGAAACTCCTGGAGATTTGGGGGAGGAGTCTGGGGAAGACAGGGACCTCAGTGGGGTATGATGCCACAGAGTCCACCCTCCAAAGCATCCATTTTCTCCAGGAGAACTGATCTCTTTAATCTGGAGATGAGCTGTAATTCCAGAGGATCCCCAAGTCCCACCTGAAGGCTGGCATTCCTATTTCAAGATGTGTTTAGGAATGATATTATCACAATTAAAACATATAGATCAGTTAACCTTGCACATGACTACTAACAGATCCCTTTTATCTGGCTTCAGTTCAGTTTCTCCAGGGGGCTTGACACCCTTGGCTTAATTTGAAATGGAATTGGGGCCAGGCTTCTGTCAGACCTAATAAAGACTTCAGCTGTACTTGGTAAGCAAATAGGCAGGCTGGACAGAGAAATATTTCGGTGTGTTCCTGTGATCTGAGTATTAGGTTCAGTGTGTTTCTTTTCTGCAGAGATGTTCAGATTGTCAAAGCCAGAGAT